GGTTGTTTCCATATTTTGGCTATTGTGAATAATGCTGCAATGAACATGTGAGTACAGATATCTCTTTACATACTGACTTGATTTCCTTTGAATGTGTACCCAGGAGTGGGACTGCTGCATCACCATATGATAGCTCTATATTTAATTTTTTGAGGAACCTCCATACTGTTTTCCATAATGGCTATACTAATTTACATTTCCACCAACAGTGTGCAAGGGTTTCCTTTTCTCTACATCCTCACCAACACTTGTTATCGTTTGTCTTTTGATAATAGCCATTCTAATAGTGTGAGGTGATATCTAGTTGTGGTTTTAACTGCATTTCTCTGATAATTAGTGATGTTGAGCATTTTTTCATATACCTGTTGTCCATTAGTATGTCTTCTTTTGAGAAATGTCTATTCAGGTCCTTTTTCCACTTTTTCAAATCAGGTTATTTGTTTTCGTACTATTGAGTTGTTTGAGTTCCTTATATGTTTTGGATATTAACCCCTTATCAGATGTATGGGTTGCAAATATTTTCTCATTCTATAGGTTGTTTCTTTACTCTCTCCATTGTTTCCTTTGCTATGTAGAAGTTTTAGCTTGATATTAATCCCATTTATCTATTTTTGGTTTTGTTGTCAGTGTCTTTGAGGTCATATCCAAAAAATCACTGCCCAGATCAAAGTTATGGAGCTTTTCCTCTATGTTTTCTTCTAAAAGTTTTTCAGTTTAAAGTCTTCTGTTTAAGTCTATAATTCATTTTGAGTTGATTTCTGTATATAGTGTGAGGTAAAGGTCTAATTTTATTCTTCTACATGTGGATATCCAGCACCATTTATTGAAGAGACTGTCCTTTCTCCATTGTATATTCTTGGCACCTTTGTTGAAAATCAATTGACATTAAATATGTAGATTTATTTCTGGGCTCTCTATTCTGCTCCATTGGTCTATGTGTCTGTTGTTATGGCAGTACCATGCTGTTCTGATTAGTATAGGTTGAGCAACCCTAATCAGAAAATACAAAGTCCAAAATGCTCCAAAATCCAACCTGACCTGAAGTGATGGGTCACAGTCAAAATGCAGTCAAGACTTTGTTTGATGCACAAAATTATTTAAAATATTGTATAAAATTACCTCAGACTATGAGCATAAGGTGTATACAAAACATAAATGAATTCTGTGTTTAGATCTCGGTCCCACTCCCAAGATATCTCATTATGTATGTGTAAATATTCCAAAATCCAAAAAAGAAAAATCTGAAATCTGAATCACTTTTGGCCTCAAGCATTTCAGACAAGGAATGCTTAACCTGTATAGTTTTATAATAGATCATAAGTATGACACTTCTGGCTTTGTTCTTTTTCCACTCAAAATTGCTTTGGCTATTTGGGGTCTTTCATGCTTCCATACAAATTTTAGGATTTTTTTTTCTATTTCTGTGAAAACTGTCAGAAATTTTGATAGTGATTTCACTGAATCTGTAGTTACCTTTGGGCAGCATGAACATTTTTATAATATTAATTCTTCTAGTCCATGAACATGGGATGGGATATCTTTCCATTTACATTCATACACGACATAATGATGTTTTGGTCAATGATGGACCACCTACACAACAGTGGTCCCGTAAGATTATAATGGAGCTGAAAAATTCATATCGCCTCGTGATTTGTATTACAATTGCTTACAGTATTCAGAACAGTAAATCCTGAATTCTGTACAGGTTTGTAGCCTAGGAACAACAGGCTACAACATATAGCCTACATATGTAGTAGGCTATATATACCACCTAGGTTTATGAAAGTACTATATACTCTGTGATGTTCATATGACAATGAAATTGCCTAGCAAATGTATTTCTCAGAATGTATCCCTGTTACTAAGTAATATATAATTGTATTTGTGTCTTCTTCAATTTCTTTCATCAATGTTTTATAGTTTTTGGTATATAAGTCTTTCACCTCCTATAGTTGGAAGTTTTAATACCCCTTCTCAGAATTTGCTAGAACTAGACAAAAATCAGTAAAGATACATAAGATCTGTGTAATATTCCATTTTGACTTAATTGATATTTGTAGAATACTAGACTTAACAATAACAGAACACACATTCATTTCAAGTGTACCTGGTATGCTTTCCAAATTAGACCATATGCTGGGCCATAAAATAAATCCTATTAATTTAAAATAACTGAAATCAGACAGAGTAGGCTCTCTGACCATAACAGAATTAAATTTTAAATCAATAACAGTAAATTACTAGGAAAAGCTCATATATTTGGGAATTAAACAACCAATTTATAAATAAGTCATAGGCCAAAGAAGAAGTCATAGAGAAATGAGAAAATGTTTTAAACTGAATTATAATGAAAATATAACATATATAAATATGTGAGATGCTGCTAAAGAAGTTCTTAGAGAAAAATTTATAGTTTGTGTTAGAAAAAATGAAAAATTTGCAATCAATGATCTCAGTTCTCACCTTAAGAAATTAGAAAAAGATCAAATTAAACCCAAAGCAAAGAGAAGGAAATAATAAATAGCAAAATCAAAAAATAGGATACAAAAAATTGAGACAAATCAATGACCCAGAAGGTGGTTCTCTGAGAAGACCAACAAAACTTACAGGTCTCTGACTAGACAGAGAGTGAGAAAACGAGAAAGAAAGAGAGAGAAAATACACATATACAAATATCAGGCATGAAAGAGAGGATGATATCACTACAGATCCTACAGACATTAAAATGGTAAAAAGGGAATATCATGATTAAAATGCTAAATAATACCAAGTATCTGATGACCACATAGAGAAACTGAGACCTCCATATATTGCTGGTAGGAATGCAAAATGGTACAGCCATCTTAAAGAACAGTATGGCAGTATCTCATAAAATTACACATGAAATTATATAAGATCTAGCAATCCTATTCCTAGGTATTTACCCAAAATAAATACAAATTATGTCCACACAAAGACTTGTAGGTGAATGCAGGATTATTCATAATATTCTGAAAATGGAAACAGCACAAATACCCATGAATGAATCGATCAATAGTAGAATATCCATACTGAGGAATAATACTCAACAATCAAAATGAAAAACAATATTAATAAATTCAACAACACGAATGCACCTCAAAAACATTCTGTTAAGTGAAGGAAATAAAACACAAAAAAACTACATCTATAAAAGGCAAAATCACAGTGTCAAAAAAGATCAGTATTTTCTGGATCTAGTGATTCAGGAGAGGGGCTCATCTATAAAGAAGATTGAGAAAACTTTTTAGGGTAAATGGATATATTATCTTCATTGTGGTGGTGATTAAAATGACTATATAATTACCAAGATTCATCAAACTGTACAATTAAAATAAGTGAATTTTTTTGCATATAAAATATTTGTCAATAAATTTGGGAACAAAAAGAATTCCTTCCAATCAACTACTCCTAGATATTCAGAGATTAAACACATCCTTAAAAGATATCTTATCCAACTCCCCTGTAAGGGTTGAATTGTATCTCCCCAGAGAAAGATATGTTGAAGTCCTAACCCCCAGTATCTCAAAAGTCATCTTATTTGGGGAAAGGGTTTTACAGAGGTAATCAAGTTACAACGTGGTCATTAGTGTGGGCCTTAATCCTGTGTGACTGGTTGGTATCTTTATAAGAAAGGGAAATCCGGACATAGAGGCAGACATACACAGAGACACACAGGGAGAACATCATGTGACAGCAAAGGCAGAGATTGGAGTGATGCATCTAGAAGCCAAGGGAAGCTGGAGGCTACCAGAACTAGGGTAGAGGCATAGAACAGTTCATTCCCTGGCACCTTCAAAGGGAGCATGGCCCTGTCAACAGCTTGATTTTAGACTTCTGGCTCCAGAACCGTGCAACCATAAATTTCTGTTGTTTTTAGCACCCAGTTTGTGGTGCTTTGTTTCGGCAGCCCTAAGAAACTAATACACTTCCATTTGATACTGACGATATTGACCATGCTAATCATCACATGTTGTCCAGTTTCCTGAGGAATGTCTCTAAGATGTGACAAACCCCGCAAACAGTCAAAAATACGTATGTAATAGCCCAGAAGAAACAAGTTTTTTCTTCTAAGTTGGCTAGTAAATGCCACCTTCTCAGTATTGTTATGCCAGGGCAAGAGTCACCTGGAAGTAATTTTAAATTTCAAGGCCGAGAGCGGTGGCTCACACGTATAATCCTAGCACTCTGGGAGGCTAGGGAGGGAGGACCACTTGAGGCCAGGAGTTCGAGATCAGCCTGAGCAAGATCGAGACCATGTCTCTACATAAAATAGAAAAATTAGCCAGGCATGTTGGTGCACGCCTGTAATCTCAGCTACTTAGAAGGCTGAAGCAGGCAGCTTGCTTGAGTCCAGGAGTTTGAGGTTGCAATGAACTATGATGACACCACTGCACTCTAGCCAGGGTGAAAGAGTGAGATCCTGTCTCCAAAAAAATAAATAATAAATAAACTAAAATAAAATAAAAAATAATTTCATCACAAATATTTTATAAACATAAAATAGGTTATCTGAACAGAACCCATTCGCTGTATTTAAATTGCATATACTCCTATTCCTTCATTTCGACACTCAAAATAGGCTGACAGGAAACCTAAGAAATGGGTGGCTACGATGTTTTAAATTTCGAAAAGCAGATGCATACATAGTCAACAAAGACATATCTGCCTGTAAATGAAATGTGAATGGGTTCACTTTCTCACAGGCTTCTGCCAGCCTCCCATGCAAAGTCATTAAACAAAACTGCAAGAAATTTTCATTTTATTTGAATCCTTTTGAAGTTAAGACTTTGAAAATAATTTTGCATTGATGAATATATAAAGTCCTCTCCACATTTGGATATGATGTTTGCAAGTTTACCATGAGAAGCTTTTCTTGGTCTCTCTCCTCCCACTGTAGATTATATTTCTCTACTCTTCATTAACACTGAACATTTAGCAGCCACTAAATATAGGATTGTCATATGCAGTCAACTTACCTCATGTGATGAAGGCAGAGCCCCTTCACAGGTAACACAGTATCTCAGGTGAGCAGGATTCCCAGTGCCACAAATCCTGCAGATTATCTTCTCCTTGACAACAGAGAATAAGAAATATATGTTCCTCTGAACAAACAACTGTGCAAACAAATTATTAAGCAGTATTTTCCATCAATCAGCCAGCTACAAACCCCATTATAATACCCAGGCTCTAAATATTGGATTGGTTTAGGAATTACTACAACATAGTGTCAGACAAATTAATGGAGTTTTAAAAGAAACAAAAACCATTCGGCGGTGGTCACTGCGCAGATCGGATTCTTCTGGCTTTCGCGCCTCGCCCCTCGCTCCGCTTCTCCGCAACCATGTCTGACAAGCCCGATACGGCTGAGATCGAGAAATTCGATAAGTCGAAATTGAAGAAGACAGAAACGCAAGAGAAAAATCCACTGCCTTCCAAAGAAACGATTGAACAGGAGAAGCAAGCAGGCGAGTCGT